CACAGCAACCGACCACATACAACCTGACTGGAGGCATAGAAACCTCCAAGGGAAGAGGGTGATCACTCCTTTTCAGCCCTTTCCCTTATCTCCAATCGAATGCAGAAAAAAGAAGAAAAACCCTAGATAGGGTGCGCAGAGAATAGAAACCTAGGCAAGCAGAAATCTAGGTAGATTCAAGTAGCTCTGATACCATGTTATGATTTGATTCTGCCTTAGAGTTCTGTCTGTCTGAGATCAGTTATGTAGAAAGAGAAAGGTGGAAGAAAGAGAGAAGGGAGAAATTCTAGTTCGAACTGGAAGACTCAACATAACATCTCCCAGTTGGCCAGGCAGTATTTATATTATTAAAATTAATTGAAAAGACATATGTGCCCTTATTTAAGTTAGGAGCACTGGTTCCAACACGACATTACAGATCAGCAACATTAATCTAGGTATAAAGACAGAAATACCCCTACGCTAACAGTATTTATAATGAATAAGTTGAATTACAAAAGACAATATCGTCCCTTACTAGAGATGGGACACATAACTTAAACTTGAAGAAAATAGGCCATTCGCTTCTAATTAGATAGACAAAAAACCAAAATACCCTTGTATTGTTGACTCTAACAAGATGAAAGAGGCAATCTCTATGATGACAACTAATAACCTCAAGAAGGCGGTGCCAACCAACCAGAAGGACAGAGAAGCTGAGAGCTGACACCAGGGCAGCGCACGCAAGTCATAGTTCGGGTCGAGCAAGCCTCCCAATGTGGACTTTCCCTTCTTCTCAGGCGACAACCCTATCTCTTTGTATTTTAGAGTTGAGCGATACTTTGAGATTCACGATGTCCCTGGACATCAGAGAGTAGCATTGGCCTCTGTTTATTTGGAAGGGGACGCTATACTATGGTACCAGTGGTACCAGCGTTCACACCCCAGATAGGATGGACAGACTTCACCGAGGCCATCTACTCTCACTTCGGACCTTCCAACCATATGAGGATTTTGATGAGAGTTTAGCCAAGCTTAAACAAACCAGCACAATAAAAGAATACCATAATGAATTTGAGAAACTCGCTTCTCATGTGTATGGGTGGCTAGAAGAAGCTTTAGTAGGGAGTTTTATAAGGGGGCTACAGGAAGACATTAGAATCGAAGTTAAGGCCATCCAACCGGCCACTGTTTTATCTGCCGCCAGCTCTACTCTGCTCCACAAAGAGAGATTGAACTGGCTTCGCCGATTCAACCGACCCACCGGCCCAGTTTTAAAGAACCCCACCCAACCTGAACCACTGGCTAAACCTCCTAAACCAAGGCCTCTTCTCCTCAAGAAATTATCATGGTCCAAGATGCAGGCCCGAAGGGAACATGGCCTATGTTATAATTGCAACGACAAAGTTGGCCTAGGTCATTGTTGTAAGAGCCCCTGGCTCTATCTCTTGCAGTCAGATGAACCGAAGGATGAAACAGAGACACCCAACCCAAAGACTGACAATTCAGAGATACTGGTAGAAGAATTATCGGAAATTTCCCTTCAGGCTCTCGCCGGATCTAATTCACCCCAAACCATGAGGCTTAATCGGCTAGTACATGGGCGCCCATCTCTATTCTGGTGGACAACGGAAGTTCCCTGAACTTTATAACTAGGGCCCTAGCCAAACAATTGGGCCTACCTATCCAACCCTTAGAGGCTTTCTCAGTTCACGTAGCAAACGAACACCAATTGACTTGTGATACCATCTGTCGAGGGGTTGAGCTACAGACACAGTGATCGAAGTTGTAGGTTGATTTACATCCCTTAAGCTTTAGGGGGGCTGATGTTGTTCTGGGAATGCAGTGGTTGAGACAACTGGGCCTCGTCTTACATGACTGGGCCATCAGGTGGTGTTTGACCAAATGGCGGGTTTCATGCAAACCAGACCAGGAATCTTGACTGGGTGACGGTTCGAACGGTTCAACCAGTAGGGTCAACAGCAAGTTGAAAACACTGCCTTAAATAGGAGTGTGTTGTCTAGTCTTGCTAAACTTGGCATTGCTGATAAGGAACTCACGAGTATCAATGAGGCATTCTAATGCGGATCTCGCATCCATTAATGAGGTGTGTTGACTCTAGCCTCATCGAAGAGACAAAGCCCCTCAAGCCTACATGCCTAACTTCTTCCCTAAGAAAGTAAACCCTAGACTTTGGCATGTAGCAACAGGCTTGAACACTAAGATCACGACACATGGTGAGGTTAGAAGAGTAGTGACAAGGAAAGCTTGCACAGGCCAGTACTTGGTCCCCTACTCTAAATGCCCTCTTTGCCAAAGCAACCTGGGATCTGCCACCCCAACCAATAGAAGACAAATTTGGAATATTCTTAGGTGGTACATGACCTTCATAGAGAATTCACCCCTATAAATAGAAGAATTGGTCTCCCATTGAAGGGGAACTTTCCACAAGGAACCCAACACTCCTTCCACATACACTCTCCATTACCAAGTCTGGCATCTGGATCCCAACCTTCAAAGCTCACAGGCCATTTCATACTCATCAACTTACAGACTAATTTATTATGCCTTGACTTTTGTCTCCAACAAACTTCCTCCCTGAACTAAAGATCATCATATGTTGTTTCTTCTCAATAAAAATCTTCCGTTACTAAAGATCCTTTTGTGCTTGTTCATAGTTCATGTCGTAATTATATATATATATATATATATATATATATATATATGTTTCTTGAGTAGCTAAAAATTTAGATAATGGATACCCAATGATACAGTTTGTTTCAATTATACAGTTTACATTTTTTCGCCTGTTGTGGAATATCAACTGAACTAGATAACATTCCTCTCAAGATTAGTTCTTAAGCAGGTTAAAACCTGGTTCTGAAATGAAACATAAAATCTTATTATGGATACCCAATGAAATCCATCACTGGAGCCAAAAATCATGGTGCAAGCTCAAGTTTCAATCATCTCATTATGAGCTTCTTCTATACAAATGAATTTAATTTTCTATGCAGCATCCAAAGGTTATCCTGTTGGCTTCAAGAATTGGATTATTACAAAAGAAAAAAATGTACCATTGCGAGTTCCACCACTTTATGACTTGAATGCTTGCAGAAATCATCAACTCCATCATAGCCTAACCAGTTGTCTCTCTGACCCCAACATACAGTTGTGCGTACTTTCCAATTCTCATTGGATAGTATCATCCGCATTTCTTTGGTGTAGGTCTACAAGTAACCAAACTCAATATTATAACACAATAACAACCTCTTTGATTTTTAGTGTGCAGATATGGTAGTCAATTTTCTTGCAAATAAATAATATAGAACATTCTTTGAGAGAAGCTATTATGTTGTACCTATCAATATATTGAAATAGCATAGGTTGGAATCATGTCATTGAACACAAATCTATAAAGCATGGAAACAATAAAGTAGCTGAATAACTGGCCGTTAGCTTTGATAACCAATTATATAGAACCAAACAGCTATAGCACCAAATTGATGCAGAATAGTTATAACCCAAGGATGTAACTGTGATAAAGGGCAGGTTAACAAAGACTTTGGGATGATTTTAGAACTAAAGGTAAGAATTGATGAAGGTCATATTCTGGACCAAATTGCTAAGAATTGCATATTCTCATTGCAATCACAGAAATTCAAAAACTTAAGTGTGGGACTAGAATTTTATAGTGAAATTTGTGAATATTTTTAGCACGATAAACTAAATAAAGCAGTTTAATTCAAATTTTGTGAATATTTTTATAATGAAATTTGGATAGTTTGTTCTACAATGCTTGGACAATTGGCACACTTCACAAAATAGACTCTCAATTGACACTCTTGACAAAATAGTCAAGAGATACAGCATGGAGAACTCCAAGAAAGGAAATGTTCCTTTCATGCACGGAGTCACTCTCTCCAAGGGGATGTCTCTCAAGACTCCCGAGGAGATTGAGGGCATGAAGGACGTTCCCTATGCCTCATCCGTAGGGAGCATCATGTATGCCATGCTGTGCACTCGTCCTGACATTGCTCAAGCAGTGAGTGTGGTAAGCGGATTCCAGGCCAACCCAGGGCAGGAGCATTGAACTGCTGTGAAAAATATACTTAAGTATCTTCGAAGGACAAAAGAGTTTCGTCTGGTATTCGATGGTTGCTCACTACAGATCTAGGGGTATACTGATGCCGACTTCCAGTCAGATCCAGATGATAGAAAGTCTACATCTGGTATGTTTCCACGATAGGATCGTGTGTTGTTTGCTGCAAAAGCAGCAAACAGGGGTCCACAGCAGATTCCACAACCAAAGCCGAATACATTGCCGCAAGTGAAGCTACCAAAGAAACCGTATGGATGAAGAAGTTCATTCATGAATTGGGAGTAGTTCCATCTAGCACATCACCCATTCCGTTGTTGTGTGACAACAATGGAGCTATCGCTCAGGCTAAGGAGCCACGAGCCCACTCGAAGTCGAAGCACATCGAGAGGAAGTACCATGTACTGCAGGAGATAGTTGGAAGAGGGGACATCCTGATTCAGAAGGTAGCATCRRCGGAAAATGTAGCAGACCCATTRACTAWGCCACTGACACAGAAAGTGTTTGAGAAACACGTGGAAAGTATGGGACT